AAAGTAGGGCTGGGGACAACACCTGAGCACAAGGGAGGACAAGTGGCAACCATAAACATCCTTAGGAAGGCAGTGGGTCGTGCCTTTTGTAGGTACTTATAGTCAAACCACCTGGTGCTGCGGGAGGAGGCTGGTGCAATAATTTGTACAACTGAATCATTTACTGCAGAAGTCCAATATTGCATTTTTAGTTGCACAATGGATTTTGTCAGCTCTTCCCACGTTTAAATACAGCCAGTGGCAGAAAACGTTCTGTATTATTTCAATTTTTTTTTTTTTTAAAAGATGGGACAATAAAGGAGAAATGTCACACAGTGAGTAATACAAAGAGTGACTTAAACCAGCAGACAATAAGGAACCTCTTGAAACACCAGCATTTTACACAGGGACACAGATGCATAAAATTTACTGTCAAAATGTTTATTGCAAAATAGAAGTTTGGAACAAAGAGAAGCAAGGGAAAAAGTTCACATCAAAAGAAAGTTTATGACACCAATTGAGGAAATTGAATACATTGCAAGATTTCTTTTTGCTTGTTTGCTTTGGTTTTACACTGGAAAAATCAAATCTACAGTGTGAATAAAACAAGACATTGTATGTCAACTGCAATAAAGAGAATAACTGACGCTGCAAGGTTTTACCACACAGAAGTGTAACATTGCATGTTCCACACAAATGATATATTCAGTTTACAGCACAAGAGTTTTGGCACAGGCATTGCGCTCAGCTTTGTTTTTTCAGAAGGGAAAATGAATTTTTCTAACACTGTGAAAATATTTTCTATTCAAATGTCATTGGTTCACACTTGAAGTGTAAGTAGCATTGACTCCTAGTATTCAGTACAAAACTTCTTCAGTAGTGCAAAAGCAAGAAATGCAGTGGACTATATCTGACTTTAAAAGGCATATGAATATTTAGCACACAATATAAAATGTTTAAAGAAGGTTGTTGGTTCTACAGTTTTAAAATTAAATCTTCACACATCAGAAATCTCTGTGCAGATCTTACAGTGTACACTAAGTCGAAGTCTGGGGGAAAAGGGAAAGGTTTCTCCTCCAGATTCCTACCAGTGCATTTTAAGGGCTGTGAAAATTACTAAATGAACTTATTCTTCTACCTGAACGTTCTACCTAGGACTGCAGTTAAAACCTCTGTCAAGTTAGAGGTCTTATTAAAAACCTGTAAAAGCTGCCTGATTACAGAAAAAGGAACTACAGTACTAAAGACACACAGTAACGCTGCTGAATTCTTAACGGTTATATGCACACTATGGATTTACTGCTACTGCTGATAGCAATGTAAATCATTGTTGCATCAAATATTTAACTCAGAACAGCCACCTTAAAACCCAGAAGGAAAGGGAATCAACATCTAACAAAACCGCTGGAACGATAAACAAATGACAAGTCAAGAACATGACTGCGTGACAAGGAGCTGTGCCAGATCTCACCTCCTGGAAGCCCTTCCCATCTAGAGGGGACAAGCTCCACGTCAGGCAGCACAGAGCCGGCTGGGGATGTAGCACACCTACACACCGTACCTTAGGACTTGCTACTCCAAGGAATTAGTGGTGTGATCGTCACAAAAATGACTAGATCAAAAGTTTTTCTCCGTTTTTTCCTCCTTCCATTTTTTCCCCACTTCTGAAGGAAAAGAAAGGGAGTTGGGAGTTGGACATCCTGTCTTGGTCCCAGCTCACCCTGTATCTTCAAGCAAGCCAAAAGCCAATCCTCACCATTCTTCTCTCGAGCCATTTACCCATCTAAGTCAATGTTGAGAATACAACAGCCTGGTAAAAATGAGAAGTTCAGGCCTGGTTCCTACCTTGCCCCTCCATCAAATGCATCAATACTATTTTACTGCAGATGCCTCCATGGCTTTATGGAAGGTAGAAAAAACTGGGATCCCAAAAGGCCTCATGGGGACTAGTGAGGTGAGAGGTGTACGAGGCATGGGAAGGCTTTTGGTGGCTTTGCTTACAGCCCAGATCAGCCAGAGAAACACCTTCTGGGTTTGGTTAATGCTTTCATAAGCTGACACACTATGTGGCTGTGGACTGTTGTGGAGATCTATATACCCTGGTGATCATACAGGTAGGAGACAGACTGGGTTGCACTGCAGAGCAAAATCAAGTGTGGAAAATGAAATACTCTGACCTCCTCCAACCAACATACCTGCCCACCACAGCCACTTGCAAAACCTTTAGCTAGTGAGAAGCGTATCAGAGGCAGAAACAACACAGCTGGATTCTCACATACAATTTTTGGCTTGTAAACTGAAGACATCTGGTATGAAAGCCATCACTAGAAAGTAAAAATGCAATCAATACCATTATTTTTTTAATAAGCGTAGCCAAAATCCTACATGTAACACTATCTCAAGGGAACTGCATCAGAAGAGTTTGTCATATGTTATCATGTTCTCTACAATTCAGAGACCACCTTGGCTACTTTGAACACACAGGTAAGTTTTACAAGAGTTTAAATTTTTCCTTAATATAGCTTAATTTTCTTTGACAAATAATGTATGAGGAAAGAAAGGGGAAGGGGGGGAAAAAAATCCATCTTTGTTTCATTAAAAAATACTGGAACTAAGTAGATAGTGGAAATTCCTATGAGCACACTACCAAATTCTGATGATATTTTGCTGAAATAAGTTACACACCTGCGTAAGCATAAAACCTTGAAGACAGACTTAAATCTTGTGATTTTGCAACTATGAAACCCTGTGTCATACTAATTAAGGACTATTTTTACTTCTGTAAAGATTAAGGAGTGGATTTACAAATTCACTTAAAACCCATGCAAATATAAATGTGCATGAAGTGCTCTGAGATTGTAAGATGCTAAAAAAGTGCAAAACATCAATGCTAGTGACAGATATTTTTTGTTGGTTTTGAATACTAAATGTACTGAACCAAATTTCATTTTCAGTTAAAGCTGTACAACCCTACAGTGCTTATGTGGTACAGTAATTTATGCACAATGACACACATCTTAAGATCTAAAGTGCAAATATTAGATTACACAAATCCATCAAATTTTCCTGAGTGCAAAGTGGCAGTTGCAAAAATAGTATCATTACTGTAGGTGTTAGCAGACATAGACTTACAAAAATAGTACAAATCTGCACTGGAAACAGCCTATTTCCATTTAATTGTTTGCCCTTCAACGTCCCTTTTTCTCCCTAAAATCAGGTTGTTTTGATGGACCTAAGAAGCCATCCCTACCTGTGCCGAAGGAGCAAGTTTCTCCTTGGGATACTCCGTAAACTTATTACATCATTTAAATTACAATCCTGTCATGAGAAAAGCTTCTTAACTTCAAGCCAATCGATTTGCAACTGTTAGGAAGAAGGTGGAATGTGGAATGACATCCTACAGAAATTAAGCATCTTGGAGGGTCTAATCCTATGCAAACTGAGTGGAGTAGCCTAGCTCAAAGCACAGCACTCACTGCCTTGCAGGTTACCAGACCAGTACTGATGCTTAAGGATAAAACAATTCTCTCTCACAACCCGAAGAGGTGCCCACTCGTCACTCTAGAAAAACTCCTTCAAAGAACTTTCTCTTTTGTTGAGTGAACGTGTAATGATTTCAGGCCTGCTGTTATCTAATGTATCCATTTTTCTCTAAGCTATCTACAAAAACACTCACCATAATATGTAGGTTAGAGCTGTGTAACAGGCAAGCCTATAATTAAAGAAGCCACTCAAAAACAGAAGTTTTCATAAAAGAAACCCCTCCAGTAATTGAGAATGGAATTTTGATGGCTTATTCCCACTACAGCTGAACTAGACAGTAACGTTTTTCTTTTGAAATGCTGCCCTTCTTCCTTGGGCAAATATTTTACATCTTCCTTTCTAACCTGCATTTGTGTTTGCGCTGGTTTCCCTCCCTCCTCCTGCATCACCACTAAAGGGGTCATCAGGAGAAATGTACTTGCTGCTCTCAACATAAGTGCCTGGAAGGCAATTATTGCAGCAGATTGTTACACACTGAGTTTTACGGTAAGTCATAACAGCAGTGGCAATACTTTAAAAGTGATTTGGCCGCAAAAAACAGGTACGCAGGGACTAGTAAATATTCCTCACGTTACCGCCATCACACAGAATTTCACATAAGCCACAGTAGTAGGGCCCAAGCTGAAATGTCACTGTGGCTTCTCTTTGTCCTTTCGTAAGAGTAGCACACACAGAATCAAAATTTACTAACACCAATTTTTACTCTCAGGTACGAGAATAAGTCCACTGAAGTTAATGAGGCTTCCTGGATTTACATCAACATAACTGAAAATTAGCTTCTAGATCACAATATCCAAAAATAGATGCAGAGGTCTGATTGCAGTTCGCTTTGCTAGAGTGAGTTATATACACATGCACAAACACGTGAGGGGAAAAAAGAATGTTTATACAAATCATCTACTAATAGCGATTATCTAGATTCTGCTGCTATACAGTTTTTAAACTGTACATTTAACTAGCCCCTCTCTTCCCCTCAACCAAGCTTCTCTCTGCCTAGAAACATATTTGTGACTTCCCACAATGCTGCCATGAAAAAGGCTTTAAAATAGAAACACAGCAAACCCCTTCACTGCAACAGTAAGAAAGAATGGATGGTAGAGAATAGCAAATCTGGAAATACGAGTATATTCATATGATTGACAATTAAAGGGGTAAGGGAAATGACAATAAACACAAAAGAAAAATTCAAAGTACATTAATGGCATTAAAGGCATTGAAGTTTCCCCCAATGTTTTCAGATCTTAAGTTTATCAAGCCATAGTTTCTGTAATCAGGCATTAAGAATTATAGATATAATCACAGTTCTTAAAATAATAATAATCTCAATTAGTTTGGAAAGTTTAGTTCCAAATTTCATCTGAGCAGAAATAAGTCAGCACAATCTAAACAAAAACAACATGTCTTTCTACACACAAACATGCTCAGCCTGGAAAACGCCTCACTTTTTTTTTTTTTTTTTTTTTTTTCCCCCCCCTTTTACAGGATTTCAACAGACCAAACTGACAGGATTCTTGTTCTAAAACTTTATTGTTTTGCTTTGCTAACACCGATTTCAAGGTTAATTCTATAACTGATTTCATTCACTGCTATCATCTGTGTCATCAAAATAATCATCATCATCATCATCATCGTCATCTGACCAGTCGAATTCACTGAAACCCAAAGCCATGTTGATTTTCTTTCCTTTTCTCATAGAGGTGGTTTTAGAAGAATTCTTTTTGGCTTGCATGTTTATCTGCATTCCAGATTGCAGGACAGATCCTGCTTGGTTCAGAGAGAAGATATCCCCAAAGCCCGTCATCATCAAGGCCTTCAGACTTTGGTTCATGCCAGCTACCTCCCCGTTACTTGCTGCTGTGATCTGACATGACATCTCTGCACTGTTTGACTCCTCTGTTTTAGATTCAAAGTAAGACTCCTCAGACATTCTTGCAGCAAGAGGTAAGAAAAACTATTTAAAGGAGGAAAGGACAGAGCAAAAGTGAAAGTTAGAACCAATTTAAAAATCGAGGAAAAAGACACCACCAGATTAGTTGGCAATCAACAGAAAGCACAATGATTAGTGAATCTAAACACGGAGATCAAGTAAGAATTCATTAAACCAGACAGCTTCATTCTGGGGTCATTGTTCTTAAATGGAAGTGCAAAATCACTGAGTCGCATGGCAAGAACCACAGGTAGCAGAGTTTTCATGACAAAAGAAGGTTCAAACTCTTCAATCCTTCATTTTGTACAGTGTAAAACAGAATGTGACATTTCCCAGCCAGGTGGACTGGCTCCCAAGGCAATGTGGATACAACAGAAGTCTGAGTGAGTTGCTTAACTGAACCCTTCAGGATTGAAGAATAAATCATGTTAAGATCAGAGAACCCAAACAAGCTCCCAAAGTTCGGTGCAGAAGTAGCAGCCCTCTAAATATCAGAAATAACAGCAGCAGTATTATTTGTGCAAAGACTTGAGCGTATGCTCAAAAGGAGAGGAAGGGGTCACCCTGCAACGGCCGCAATCAGAAATGAGCCTCTCACCAATGCAAAGGACACGGGAACCGGCCTCCAGCCCGCACCGGCACCTTGCTTCTGGAAGCTGTCCCAGGGAAGAGCAGGCAGCGGAAGAGGGGCTGATTGGTCGGCTGGTCAGCTTCTTCAGCTTGGTTGCCTTTGCTTTTTTTTTTTAGTGATATCAATAGACATCTGCCATTTGATTGTACATCATATTAAATCTCTACTGATTTAATCTTCGCCTACAGATAATGGTGTTTTCCTGACCCAGTCTGTTTGTAATAAGAAATGAAATGTGCCCTCTCCAGCTAAATAATGATTAATGCCTCTTCAGAGTGGCCGGGCTAGTAACCTCTGTGACATGCTTGCCTGTTCTCGACAGGGAGTAAAAGCTCAGGAGTTTCATCCCAAATCAAACTACCTACTAAAGCAACAGCAAAGGAGCTGTGCGTGAACACCTGAACTGGCCTTTCTTTCCAAAGCTGTTTGCAAAACCACCTGCCCCAAATTCACGGTTTTCCACATCTTTGAAACCTAATCAGAAGACTGACTCAAGAGTCAACAGCATTGGTCACAACAGGTTACAGGGGTGATTATGGTGATGCCCTGGTCTGTAACACAGGAGGCTTCACGGCCAGGCTGCTCAAAGAGTGCCCATTTCTTCACAAAACCACTTACATTGACAAATTAGCTATCATTAAAAAGGGCAATATCCATCTTTGTTCCTCTCGAGTTTCCCCTTCTTACATGGGCTTTATATTTGCGTTGTGGTTAACAAAAGTTAGTGACCATGGTTTAAGAAATTAAAATAAAATTAAGAAGTTGGGGAGATGGGGTGCCCTAAATACTCTTCATGCGTCCTATGGCTAAGTGACCAAAGAACCTGCACCTAAGCTTCTGTACACCTGGCTGCACAGGAAAAAACAATTACACCATCACCAGAGCACTACTCGGATCAAGGACACCAAAAGCTACTACTGATAAAGAGAAGGAATATTTAAAGAACAAGATCTAGCCACAGAAACAAGGTACCCAGGACACACGATTCAGTGCCCGGTAGTTCTTCTGTCAGCTATTGGAGTTTTAGGCTACTTTAGATCCATGGAAAAGCACCCCTGACATATAGGAAGAATTCCCTATAAAAATCAACAAAGCTGCAAAACAGCTTTCCTCTAAAACACATTTCTGGGTGTTTCTGGGTCAGTGTTTGTGCTGTGGGTAAGCTGTGAAGGGGCCGTAACTGTGGCTCATTTTGCAAGTTATAATCACCTTACTTCCTTCATATTTTGCCATCTCATTATCTGGAGAACTTAGGAGCTCTTTGCGACAGGACCTGCCTTTGGTGTCGCATTGCGTATGACAACTATCATGAAGAGACTTTTATAGGTGGCTGGGATCCCCAATCTGTGTACAAGCCACTGTTCTCAAATGAGCACCTGCAGGTGCACGGCATCACAGGTGAATATCTAGATTTCATGTCTCGCTCACTGCCTTCCTCTAAATATGAGCTTCAGCTTAGCTACATACACTCCCTTCTTAAAGTCAGGTCCTCTTTCAAAAGAAGTCTCCCATTTCACTACAGCTGTGGATGTATTTTATTCTTCCAAAAGGCTCCAGATTCCCTTGTGCAAGAGGCTCTTGGAGGTCTGCACAAAGGGAATTTGCAGAGATCAGACTCAAAGGTGTCTGTTGTATAAGACACAGCAGAAACAGGGTCAAAACAAGAGCAGGGAGAAACACTACTTTCACAGAAGTGTTTCTAAAGATTGGCCTCATCCTCCTCTCATGCTGATGTGTGTAAGGCTATACTTTAGAGTAGGAGCAGCCTGCCACTCATAGCTACCTACCATGCAGGATGAAGCTTCTACCAACCCTAAAACACTGGAGAATCAAGTGGCAGCGACAGCTTCCCTGTTCTCCTTTCATTTGGTTTGAGTTTCTCCTCCTGCACACCACTTTAATAGTATCTGCTGGCCTCTGGTCTTTGCTGCAGAGCAAAACGAAGAAGTGACTGCGGAGCATAGAGCAGGGATGACAGTACCAGCAAAGACACAACAAGGCCTAGTGTTGGTTAAGAACCAGGTATAAGCCTAGTGGCACCCTAAGCTGTGTTATTAGCTCCGGTTGCCATATCTTTACTACTGTTTTAACAGCCAACGTAGCTTAAAATCGAGCAGTGCACCTCCCTGTTGCAATCCTCCACTTTGATACTGCTGAGCAGACATACCCTGAACCAAGGGAGGGAGGGAGACACTTGACTCCAAGGATTACGGCTTGCAAACAGAATGCCCAGGGATATTTTGCAAATGATTTACAGCTATGAATTTAAAATATAGATGTATTTGTAACCAGTGCCTTGTAGAACTTCATTTGCTATGAAAAAAACAATCCTGCTTGAACAAGCCAATTTTTGCCAGTATGCCAATTTTTTTCCAACAAAAGGGCTTTATTTAAAGCTGTTCCGTGTAACAGTTCACTAAAGATCTATGGAAAAAACAAACCTGTATTTCTCTATTAGAAGAAATTGCATTTAAATGCAATAGGAGAGTTGGGTTAATGTTATGCAGAAAGATAGTTCATGCTTAGCACAATAGGCCTTAGCACAATGCTTTATTCTTTCAGCAATGCCAGCTCCAAGTGAAAAGTAGAAGTCATAAGCAAGTACAGCATAAAAAACCCTAGGGCCCTGCTCGTGAAAAGATTTGCTCATTAAGGCTGTGTCTCATGCTGTGCTCAGGATAGATGATGGCCCACAGCTCAGTTACTGGAAGTTTGCAAGCGTTAAAGCAGGCATACAGATATCTACTGAGAACATACAGTATCTGCACACAGGAAAACATTCATTCTTCATAATTTCACTACTGCATGTTCACAGCTGGAACATGAATGCAACTTCATTCAAACAATAGCAATAAGCTATGCGTAAAACCAAGTTGTATGTAAATGGGTCTGGCTGGAATCAAGGTTCTAAGTAGCATAAAATTGTGCATAAGAAAAATCAAATGCTACTGCAAACTCAATTTGGTATTTGTTTTGGGTAGTGCTTTAAAACAAGTAGGTAACATGGTATTTTTCTTAACAATTCTGTTGTAGTATGTCTAGCCATCCACTAACCCTGTGGTCCTCCCTCTGCCAATCAGTAGTCAAGAGGATCGTATCTCGTTAAGAAATTCAAGATAACCCAAGGAAGGTTTTTTAATTCAATTTATTAATAGAAATGTGGCAATCCTAACAGCTAACAACTGGCCAGGACAAGTATGGTAACTATAATTATGAACAAAGCCCTAAATTAACACTTCAAATTTTGACCCCCTTTTTCACAGAATGGAAATTTGCTTCTTCTCAAAGAAAAAGAACAGAATAAAAAAAACCTACATAGATTTCTCAAGCCTTCTTTCTGCAAGAAACAAATGGTTCTTACATTTAAGACCAAATCCTGCATCCATTAAAGTCAACAAATTTCTAGTTGAAAAATGAATTTATTGAATGCAATCAACTTTTAAAGCTGAGAACTGTAATTAAATCAATGGGAAACTACTTAAGTGCCCATGGCACAATATGAACTATCAGCAATATCTGATACCTAATGTATTAGATGAAATTTTAAAAAATAGTATAGTTATTTGCAGTGATGTAATAAAATAGACTTTAATGGGCCCAAACGAACAACTGAAGAAAACAGGGGCACTATTTCCTTGGTGTGTCTTTAGATTTACATAGACAAAGGTCCAAATACTTTCTGAAGATGAAAGGTTGAATTATTGTCTACTTACAGGAGTATTGGACTGTTCGGTTAACTTCTGCTCCCACATCCTCAGACGTCGCTCCCGTTCCTTTAGTTCCTGCTCTTTACAGCTCAGATCACGCTCCAGTTTCTTTAGCCTCTCTAAGGTTGCCTCAATTTCACATCTGCACGGAGACAATTTGTTACGTCTTGTCTTTTCCTGACAGATATAAATTGTTCATAATTCCCACTTGAATGTTAATTAAATGTGAAAGGCTGAAAAGTACAATACTAACTCAAGCAGTTCATTTAATTACCAAATGCAAAGCCTTTCAGAGCTTTAAGAACAACTGGCAATGTTTGTACTTGAGAATAACCATAATACCTTCAGTTGAAGAAAAATAGCATTTGAAAGGTAAAATGCCATATAAAATCAACATTTTAAGAACTAAAATGCTGTCTTTTCCCTCAACATCATGAAACATGATCTTATCCTTAAAGAAACTGCCCTAAGAACTGGTAACAGGGACAATCATTAGCAACACAATACGGGCAGTCTAAGAAGCCCATTTGCCTGGGTTTGTAACTTGGCTATAAATATTATTTGGACTCAAAATACACAGAAGCAGCACTGGGGTGTTTTTCCCACTTACCTTCCTATTTCTCTAGGTGAAGACGTAAGAGCAAGAATATAAACCATGATATACCCAGCCCTACAAATGGTTACAAATACAAGCTTCTCGAGTTAGGAACAGTTAATAAAAGGATTTGGTTTACTTTGCTTCTCACCATACATGCAAAGGTGTGAAAAATAAGAAAGGCAGGAAGCAAAGGCGGTATTCTAAGGAGCTTCAGATACTGTCTTTATTGGGTTGCATTGCACGTACCTCATCCCTTAACAAAGTGGTTTCCTTTGACATGCTTTCTGATGGACAGTATCTTTTAAACACATGAATTTAACTGCTCTTGGAAAAGAGTTTAACAAGTTTTGCGCTACAAATGCATGGGTATATACTAGAAGGTACACAAAAATAATTCTGTCACTAAATTCAGCCACATTTTTTGCTTGTGGGATAACCAAAGAAAAACCTCCAATTTGTACCAGAGGTTACATTTGCATTTAGCAAACCGTTTCTGTGACTGTTTGGGAGACTGTGCACAGCCTGCCACCTGTGTCCTGACTATTACTTCAACTGTTTCCTATTCATATTGTGGGAATAGTCAATCAGAGCGTTTCATTTTCCTCCTAGAGAGAGCAAGCTCCTAAGGAGACAGAGATCCTAAGGAGAGCTCTGAAGATAGCTATTGCGACTCTGCAATGCCAAATCTTCTGAAGCTTTCACAACAGTTTCCCTTCATAAACACACTGCAAACAAAATCTGCTCCTTCTGATGTTTTCAAAAAGAAACTAAAAGGATCAACAGAGTTAGTTGTCATTTCTGTTGGGGGTGGGGGGCATGGTGTAGAAAAAAAAAGAGAATTATTTCTTCCTGTAAATCTCCTATCCTAGCATGGAATGATTAAGCTCTTCTCCAGTATCAACCTAAAGGCGTTCAGGCTCTCAGTGTGGCAAAATGCATACCCAACAGCCTGTTTAAGTAAATGAAATAATTTAAATATTCCAAATCTCATAGATTTCTTATTTTAATAAGACATCTCTGTCAGAGAGTAATGCTTACGAAGTACAGTGAAAGGATTCAGAGCTGGAATAACTAGCAAACTCTACTGCAACCTCTACCACCATGCTTAATTCTGCTGCAAAAATCAGCCACCTGGGGCAAGGGCATTTATCACACTTAAATCCTGCTGAGCGAGCTGTTCAATGTGGGGGTCAGAACAAATGCCCCTCACAATTATTATGCTTCAGATTTCAAGCAAAATTCTCTCTCGTATTTAGGCATGCAAAGGTCAAGGCTGATCTCTGTGCTGGGTGGAAACTGGTCACACATCCTAATAAAGAGACAATAAAGGAACAAAACTAAAAAGCACTGGACAGAAGGTCAGAAAGTGACTCCTCTTCAACCATTCATTTCCCTGTCATAAGCCCTTTCTGTCAGGTGCAACATAGACTATGCAATCTACTGTGGGAACTACAGAGCAATCTGAGGATAGCTGCAAGTGCTGCTTTTCTTAGTTTGTCTCTCAACATCACTGCTACTTATACGCAACTCTATAATTTTTAAAATATGTAAATTAAGTTCTCTTTTAAATAACATTCTGCACTAGGAAAGTCCTGGTAACAATAGCTTTCTATATGTCAAAAGTCTATTTTGTGCTGTAATTACCTTTCTTCATTAGACAGAAGCTTATAATAAAAGGTCAGTCTGTGAAAACAGTTGCATTCTGAAAAATAATTCTACTGTATAATAAAACTGTGTAATTAAAGAGAAAGCTACCGTACATTGCCCAGTTAATGAGTCTTACTTCATAAATGAAGCAGCTTGAAACATTATACATGGTAGGGCATGTGGATTTGTTTGCTTCTGTAGTTCTGCAGTCTGAGCTTACTGGCTTTTCTAGAATAATCTCATTCTGTGACACTGAAGAATGTATACTGTATTATTAGAAACTATAATGATAAACAGTCACAGATTAAAAACAATGACTGGCATTTGCTTATAAGTGCTGAATTGCTACTGATACACTAATATAAGTGTCACTAATAGACTATTTTAATCATTAGAACAGCCGGTCGTTGGGAGAGGATGGAAGGAGAAATGCAGTTAGCATATATGACTAAATGCTGACAAATATGATTTCTCACTGAATTGGAACATCATTACTTCAATAGTAATTTTTTTTCTTACTGTAATAAAAGTGACTTGAGAAAGAACTCCAAAAAGATCACAGAATATGAACTTAAACATAAGGCAGACCTGTGCAACTTAGTTGTAAGACAGTGCCCCTATTGAATTAAATAGTAAAAACATGAAGGGTAAAACAGTTAGGAAATAATATACTGAATTATTTTAAGGAAATGATAGAACAGGCAGATTAAAATGCATTATTAATATAAACATCAAGACCAGTAAATGTTGCAAATAAGACTACATTAAAGACAGGTCAAAGCGTCATTTATCTCATCACCTCTGCCAGTCATGTATAGATTCAGCCCACTCCAGTTTTCATGCCAGCCAGCCAGAGGCGTTGAAGACTCCAGTTACTCACTGCTACAGATGCATTTTTTGCACGTCTCTATACAAAAAACCCCTCACCTTTTTTTAAAGAGTGGGAAAAAATGTAATCCACCTTGTCTGAGCTTTGATTTGCTTTGATAAGTGCAGTATCCCTGTGAAAGTGCAGTATCTGGATCGCTGATTTGGAGGTCCCTCAAAGGAACAAGTGTAACCTTTGCTCTTCCCAAGCCCACCCTTCTCCAGGGCTCTGATAGCCAGCCTTCATTAAAATTCCCTATTTCTTGGTAACACAGGTCATTCTCTCCCTATTGCTGGTTCAACTATTTCTTTACAAGTCACTGTGGGATAAAAAAATATAAAAAAAACCCAAATCAATGAGTAAAAGCAAAGACTTTTCAATGCAGAAGTTAAACCACATTAAACTTCTGTGTAACTGTTCTCAGAAACGGTCTTAGCCTGGTTTCGTTTATCCCTTGGGATCACTTTATGCACACAAGTCCTTCTACTTTAACTTGCGTATTTTTTGCATACTTTCTGTTAATTTGGCTTAACCTTCATGAGTGTCTCCGTACAGACATGGCTTTCACATCAGGGAAGTCAGCCATTACCAGAATTCAGGTAGGAGACTGCCCCTCTTGCCCAGCTTCTGAGCAAGTCCCCACACGACTTGGGCTCTTTCTGCACTTTGTGTTTTCATTTCAGCTTAATTCAGAAATCACCTTTGCTTTCAGGTAAATCATGCCCCATCATGAGTTTGTATTTTCCCTCTCGCATTGCCTTGTCTCCAAGTTACTTATTCTTCCAAAAAAAATGCCCAATCTACCTTTAACACAAGTCTCCATGGTAAGTTTTTCCATGACTTGATAGTGCCAAAGAACTTTTTGTTTTTACACAGCCCTTCATTAACACTTTGTTGGTCATTCCTCATCTGAGCAATTTAGGTGCCTCAAAATAAAATCTGAAGAAATACTTGGTCTACCCGAGTCACACTCTGAGAAATGAATCATTTTAGTAAAAGAACAGAAGTTTAATGTTACAGAATGTCAAGTAGCACGGCTTTTATTCTGCTATATTGGCAAGATTTAGGTCGCTCTTTGTTTTTCCTAAAGGAATTTGAGTACTTGCTCATCTTTTAAATAAATATTTTTACTATACAGGGGTGTGTAAGAAACCCCTCACTGGGGGATATTTTTCTTCCAACCCTCCTTGTGTTCTGCCTGCTATCAAAACCACAACGCGATGTCCAGAGTCTGCATAAATAACGGTGGCCAAGAAATACGTTTTTGTACTTTAAATATCCGGCGTTCGCCGTGAGCCTTAGAATACGGATTTGGGGGGCGAGAGGGCCTACTGACAAGATTGCAAAAGCAACGCCACGGATGCAATCATTGGCAAATATTCGGGAGCCGGGTACTGGCGAGAGGGAACACTGAACGCAGCG